AATATATATATATAATATATATATATATAATATATTATATATAATATATATATAATAATAAATATAAATCTACGTAGGCGAGAGAAACTGGTGGTAATTTACACGTGGACAATATTAGCGGGGCTGGTCCCAAACCTGCACACAGAAATAACACCAAGTGAGGCAAGGAGGCATGGCAGGATGTGCAAAATACCTTGAGGTTATCTTAAGAAGATTTCGGGCCTTAGTATCCCCGCGGCCCGGTCCTCGACCAGGCCTCCACCCCCAGGAAGCAGCCCGTGACAGCTGACAGCTCCCAGGTACCTATTTACTGCTAGGTAACAGGAGCATCAGGATGAAAGAAACTCTGCCCATTGTTTCTCGCCGGTGCCCAGGATCGAACCCGGGACCACAGGATCACGCGTCCAGTGTTCTGTCCGCTCAGCCACCGGCTCCCAGCCACCTACCCCTGTTGAAAAACAAAGGTGCAATAGGTACGCTGATAGAGAGAACTGACTCAACAGTTCAGAAAAGCTCAAGACTTTCCAAAACTCTCCCTCTACATAAAAGGGGCATAACTGGCCGACCCCTCACAGTGTTCAAAAGAGAACTTGACAAGCAGCTCCAAAGGATGCCCGATCAACCAGACTGTGATTCACACGTCAGGCTGCGAGCAGCCGCGTCCAACAACCTGGTTGGCCAGTCCAGCAACCCGACCAGGAGGCCTGGTTGGGGACCGGGCCGCAGGGACGTTGAGCCCCGAAATCATCGCAAGGTAAGGTAACGCAAACGATCTAAATGTGACGTTCTCTGTACGAGGATAGGTATCTGAGCATGACACAAGCGAGGTCTTGACACAACCATGTAGCTCCTCATGACGCCCACGGTTACCTTACCTTGAGGTTACCTTGAGGTGCTTCCGGGGCTTAGCGTCCCCGCGGCCCGGTCGTTGATCAGGCCTCCTGGTTGCTGGACTGATCAACCAGGCTGTTGGACGCGGCTGCTCGCAGCCTGACGTATGAGTCACAGCCTGGTTGATCAGGTATCCTTAGGAGGTGCTTATCCAGTTCTCTCTTGAACACTGTGAGGGGTTTGCCAGTTATGCCCCTTATGTGTAGCGGACCTCAGTAGTATCAACGGTAGATGCATAAATCCCCGCGGACCTCAGTATAACATTGAAGCCTGATCAACCAGGCTGTGACTCATACGTCAGGCTGCGAGCAGCCGCGTCCAACAGCCTGGTTGATCAGTCCAGCAACCAGGAGGCCTGATCAACGACCGGGCCGCGGGGACGCTAAGCCCCGGAAGATACCTCAACCAGGTATCAACCAGTATCACAATAACAAACCTAAACTAGCCGCTTGGGGTGAGCGTGTGGTTGGGGGGGGGGAGCAATGTGGCAGTCCGTAGGCTAGGAGGGGGGAGAGGGGGGGAAACGTACCTCTTCCTCCACCCCCCCCCCCCCGTGAAATTAGCGGAAACGATCAAGACCGCTAAGGGGGTGAGTCATGCCCCAGGGAAGGTAATGGGGGGGGGAGGAGCAGTAGGCAGCAGACTGAGAGGTGAATACTAGGGAAGAGATTAGGCTGGTGGTAGTGGTTGGGTCGGACAGGTAATAGACTGTGAAGGATTTAAATGGGTGGCGTCGGCGCCTTTTTTGCTTCAATGTTGGTGTGTTCAGAGTCTGGGACCATTGTAGCAGGTAATCTAGAGCGGTAGGCTAAAGCTGTATGCTAGGTAAGGACACACACACAGTGAATGTCTAGGGTACAGTGTAAACTAAAAGAGGTAATTCTCTCCAGACCGTTGCTCCAAGTACTGAGCGCGGCAAAAAGGACCGCTGTCATTCACATATTCGAAAAGTAAAATTCAACGAAATAATTTATGCACTAAATTGAATTTTATGACCAAACACTCAGATTTTTTTATTTGTAAAATTAGAACAATAAAAATATATGCACCACCATAAGGCTAGACATTTTCCAGCAGATGTGTGAAGGAGTCTTATACCACAGATTACAAAATAGTAATACCTGTAATTTGGACACGTAGATATCTATGGATATCTCTATAACATCAGCAGACCCTTAGATGTTACTACTACTCGCCCTTAGACTTTGTTATAAGTGTCTCACTCGGAGTTTGCATTACAAGTTGATGTAGACTGACCAAATGTAAACTGTGTCAACTAAATAATTCACACACCCTGCGTCACTATGTTTAGTAAATGTTTTAAGTATTTTATTCAACACAATATACTAGCAAACATTCAACCAAGTCTCCAAAGTTTGCTTTCTGTAGGGAGTGCATGTCGTGACTAACCTTTCCACTGCCTCCCATTACACGGGTGAAGGGTGCTTTATGGACAGATTCAATCTCTATGTAATTCGCTTACCTTACCTTTCGTTTACCTTGCGATGAATCCGAGGATCAACGTCCCCGTGGCGCGGTCTTCGACCAGACCTCCTGGTTGGTGGTCGGGTCAACCAGGCTGTCTGAATCCTCTGAAGATAATTTAGGC